AATGGATCACCGGTGTATCCAATATTGCAGATGCATATGGGGCTGTGGTTGATCACTTTGCATTGCGTGTTGATACCACACGAGTTCACGCACGGGGTACCGCATTTCTGATTAATACATGCAAGTTCCCTCGAGCACTCGGTGTTTACCACGCATTCGGGTCGGCAGGTTGGTGGGGTTCCAATGAAATTCGCCAGACAGGTGCACACAGCATGGTCGTTCACGTTTCGACATTGGCTATTTGGTCCGCATGGTGACGGACTACAGGGGTCTGACTCTACGAGGGTTGCTGTGTGAGGGAAAATTGTATTAAACAGTCTAGATTACGAATATTTCCAGCTTGTTAAACTACTTGCGCGACGAATTTAATGAAATTCAACGATGATTCTCCGTTAAAAGTTGAATTGAAATTGAATTTCCAGTGTAAGCTACTACGGACTTTGCGCTTCATAATAATAATTCTTTTAAGTTCCTTTTGCAAATGAGTGGAATTAAAGAGAACGCTGTAATGAGGAATATAATATACAAACCTTGAGGGATATTCGTATTTGTGTATGCATTTGTCACTTCATAGAAAAATATATAAATATCCCTCGAAGCTGTATAATAAAGACCTTTTGCTAAATTTTCCTTTAATTTCATCGTTTCGGAAGAAAGCATACTCAAGCTGGTCTAACTCCTTCTACTTGATCGATAAATATAAAAGTTTCAACCCTACGTTTCTATTTCTATCTAATAGTCAAGCGTCTTTGGATGCAAAACGTGACAGAAAACGAAATCTTACGAGCAACAGAGATCGGGGAGCAATACGTGAACGGATTGCCTGTGTACCCGGGATTACAAGAACACACAGGTATATGATTAATCGTTTCGCAACGGGCTTGCAATCCGCAGGTTCCTGGACAGGGATCTCTGCACTTGAGGCTTATACAGGCCATCGTCTTGGAGCAATCGGGATTTTGGGTACATTCGGGTCTGCATCCTTCGTATGGGTCACCAACGTAGTCTGGCAGACAGGAACAGGAACCGATGCCATTGTTCTCGCGACAGATCGCGTTGATACCACAAGGGAATGGCTCGCACGGTTTCCTAACATCTAAGGGTGTATCTAATTAAAAAGAGAAACACTTTCTTTTTATATTTCTAATCTATCATGCGGTTGATCAAAGCTTGGTGCAATAATATGAATATTCGGGTTTCCGTGAGGTTTGAATAAATGAATGATCGGGGGGG